TCCCGCCGAGCAGGGAGCCCGATGCGGGGCTCGATCCCAGGACCCTGGGATCATGACCTGAGCCGAAGGCAGACGCTCAATGGCTGAGCCACTCAGGTGCCCCATTAAATATTTTCAACTGAATGTAAGTATATCTTGAAATTCTAAAATCTGAAATACCATTCATATTGCCCCTCTTGTATTTAGACATATATTCCTTTACATAGTACTTTTGCTTGCAGATGGACACTACCTTTAAAGCACTTACTGTGTGCCGAGGACTGTCCTCAGCCCTAGACACATACTTATACCCTCGTAACATCTGTGATATAGGTTTGTTGTCACACAACTTTAGACATATGGAAACTGAGGTACAGAGAGGCCCCTGCTCAAAGTTATATAGCTAGTAAGCCACGGAGCCAGAGTGTTTTTAGCTGGTTGGGTTCCAGAGTCTCTGATCTTCACCAAAACCCTCTGCTAAGGTTCTAAGCCTTAAAACAGGACCTTTGAAGTCCAAAGGTTGTGACCATATACTACACTGCCTCAAAAATCCCAAACAAAGTACTGGCATTTAGGAACCAGGTAGGAGACATGCCTGGGCGCTGTAGAGACAACATTATTATCTCACTTTAAGCAGTTGAAAAGGATTCCTTTTTGGCTACCCTCTTCCAAAGCTCTTCCACCTTGTCCTCTAGGGTCCTCTTTGAGGAGACCCTCCAGAGTGTTACATGGTACTTGCGGTGTCACTAACGGATGCTCCTCTTGGACTATAAAATCACCACTAACATTCTGGGGAAGATCAAGGCTCTGTTGAATACTCAGCCATCAGCGTGCGGGCCTCCAGGCGGCACCTGCTGCCCACGGCTTCCACGCTACGCTGGCGCCTGCATGGACCAAGGTAGCTCGGGGGTTCCTGCACCAAGTCTATCGATATGTACCTTTTCAGTTATGTATCAGGATTGCTGACATCTCTGAATTAAACCGCAACAATTCAGCGACCTCCCAAATTTTGCTACAAGACGAGGAGACAAACCTTGTTTCCACTTTTTCTTCTCATGAAAACGTAAATGTTACACGAGTAAATAATTTTTGGTCAAGTAATCTTAAAGACTGAGAGTGCCACGGAGCCTGTCTGAAACTGAATAGGTACCAAACGGGGGGTAGGGGGTGGAGAGACGCCCTGAACCCGCACAGGGGCGGAGCCACATTCTTCACCCGGCTCAGGTAGGGTTCTGGGTCATCTGTGCGCCCAGAACAGGGAAGTCCGGACGTGCGCACTGTACCCGACGCTAAATCCGGCGCGGGCTGGAGGCCACCGCCGGCCGGACCTTGGGCTGCGGCGGGCAGCGCCCACCGCGGCAAGGGCACCCTCCGTACTAGCTCCCGCCCCCGGCCGGATCCCCCACCCCTCGATCGCGCCCACCCCGGCAGGCCCCGCGCCCTGGGCCCAGCCCCCGGCCCCCGACTGTCCCGGCCGCGCCCACACCCGCCAGGCCCCGTATCCCGGGTGCGCGCGTTGTCGGGGCTCGGGGTACCTGTCAGGACCGAAGGCCCGTCCGGACCTCGGCGCCTGCACGGTCCCCAGGGCCCTCCGCCTCCCCTCGGCAGCGCCTTCCGGAGCTCAGGTGGCGCCTCCTCCGCCGTCCACGGCCGGTCCGCACCCCCGAGCCGCAGCGGCGGCGGCCGCCGAGGAGCAGCCCCGGCCTCCTGCGCCCAGCGCCAGGGCCGCGGCCGCTGCTCTCATGACAACCAGGCCGGCCCGGCCAGGCCGCGCCTGCGTACAAGGCAGGGCCGTGCCTCCGCTTCCCCGGGCCTCTGGGTAATGGAATCTCTGGGGGACAGCGCCTGCGCACAAGGCGGGGCCGCGCCTCCGCTTCCCTGGGCCTTCTGGGTAATGGAGTCTCTGGGGGACGGCGCCTGCGCACAAGGCGGGGCCACGCCTCCGCTTCCCCGGGCCTTCTGGGTAATGGAGTTTCCGGGGCACTCCGCGCGACTTTGGTCCCGCAGCAGAGCCCACAAGGCGTAGGACCCTCGCCGCTCAGCTGATCTCTGCGGCCTGGGAGAGGACCCGCCTGAGCGGTCCGCCAAGCACGTGCCGCCGGCGGGGTCGGAGGCCCTGAGGATGTCTGCGGTGTTCCGGAAGCCCAAGACGTTCAGGCTGCGGGCTCTGCACAGCCAGAGGAAGTTTGGGGTGGCGGGTTGGAGCTGCTCGGAGGTGCTGCAGAAGGGGTGCCGCCACTTTCAGGTGCCTGGCGCGGGGTGGGAGTGGGAGTACCGGGTGCCTCCACGTGCAGCTGCCCGTGGCCAGGGTCCGGGGACCGGGCGCCGCCTCTAACTTCCTCCTCTAGTTACTGAGCCCCATTCAGCGGGACTTGGTGGAGGGGTTCTGGGACAACTCCTCCCTCTCTGACCACGAGGATCGCGGCAGCCCTGGCCTGAGATTCTGGGACTCCGGTTCTAGCGCACGTCTGCTAATTTGCTGTGTGCTCCAGGACACAGCCCCGTGGCCTGTCTGGGCCTCAGTTTCCCCCCTCTGTAAAATGAAGGACTTGAGCTCAGAGGCCCACGAAAGGCCCTTCTAGCACTATTGTTCCAGCGATTCCAGTCATCGTTCCTACTGGATTCTTACGCATTTGTTTTCTTGGCTGGACTTGGACTTGGAGCAGCGTGGGTTGTGGGTGTGTGTATGTGTGGGTGCAGGTGCGCGCGGAGTTGCCATCAACGTTCATAAAGCTGATCAGAGTCCAGCAAGTGTTATCGGACTAGTGGTACCGCGTGCCGGTGACGCCTTGTCAGCCAGAGGCCGTGAGTCCTTTTCAGTAAGATGTTCTCCTTAATAAGTCATCGCCCAGGATGCAGAGTGCGTTGAGTGGGTGTGTCTCCACACCAGTCAGGTGATGTGCGCTCTTGATGGGGACGTGTTTATGCGCTTAGCGGAAGCAGTCAGCCGTCTTTTCTGCAACAGGCTGGGATTTTCAGAGCCCTTCAGGAGCTCCTGTCGAAAAGGTCTGTGTGGTGAATTCTGCAAAGTCGTCCCCGCTGTGTCTACATTTTTACACGACTTGTATTTTAGAACGACCTGCAGGAGGTGTCTGTTTCGACACGTGGGTACTTGAGACCCCAGCACTGTCTCAGGTGTTCGTCCACCTGTAGAATGTGGACAGCATCCCGCTCTTGATTCTTTAAAACGTTTGTGAGGACCGCCGACGGAAAGGCCTCAGGTTACTGCTCCCAGGGTGGGCCTGCCTGAGACCCAACACAGAAGCATCCTGCCCTGCCCTCCCTCTCCGCAGCTCCCTGTCACCGGCTCCCGCCTGTGCCTCTATGAGGATGGCACGGAGCTGACCGGAGATTACTTCTGGGGTGTCCCTGACAACTCGGAGCTGCTGCTTCTCACCTCGGGCCAGACCTGGCAAGGCTGTAAGTGGCGGGGACGTGGGAGCTTGGTGGGGAAGCCAGACTGGCTTTGGAGGTGCTGGGGGCCTGCCATGGACACCAGCCTGGGAAGGGGGGAAGGGGAGGGTCTTCCTGCCCAGAACTCCAAAGCGGGAAGCCCCCAGCATCAGGGTGAGCTGCCCCTCCTCTTGGCCCAGGACCCCAGTGGTCCAGCTGGGTGTTTAAGGTGTCTTTTCTTCTTTTCTAAGTTATTTAAATTTTCTGTTCATTGTCCTAGTAACTCCCGAGGGCAGAAGGGAGGGGTTGGGGGGGTTGGGGCCTGCACGGGTTTGTGGGCGAGGCAGAGCCAGCGGGAGGGACGCCTTTCCATGTGGCTCCGAGGGTGGCTGGAGCTGTGCTCAGTGTCTGTTCTGTGTTGGTGCTTGCTGGAGTGCTATCGTGTTGCGGGCCTTATCAGAGCAATTATTTCCAGGGGTGGTTCCTTAGGGGTGTCTGTATTTCAGCACCAGCTGGACGACAGGTTCCACACTGCAGCCGTAGGCCAGTGGCAAAGCGTGTGTGCTCTCCTCCTAGGAGGGTTGTGTGGCTCTTATGCAAAGTGGCTTACATTTCAGGAGATGCTTCTGTCGCCCGGGGAAGGAAGTGGGAGCCCGGAGGATGGAGATATCCGCCTCTTCGGCCTGAGGTCCAGAAGGACGCCCTAGAGTAGTGTGCGTGTGGCTTTGCCTTGCGGTTGGGACTCTGCTGTTAGCAGTGAGGGGTCACATGTCTAGTGCATGCTCTGAGGTCGCAAGTGCTCTTTCTCTGTGGGGCCTTGTCCTTCTAGAGGAGGCAGCCAGAAAGCAGAGTCACCGTGATGCCACCTGGGATGGCCTCTTGCAGGAGGTGGGGACTGGGCAGGACAGGGTTGTGGTCTTGAGAATCTTTGGCTGTTCCTTCTCCTTCCCATTTCATGATGTAGTTGAGAGCAGACCAGGCTGGGTTGCTGTCCTCCCCACTCCCACCTACCCCCTCCTTGTCTCCCTCCGTCCCTACCTCTAGCTCTCTCTTCTTCCCTCTCTTTCTTCCCTCTCTCCCTCTCCCTCTTTCTTTCTGTCTGTCTTTCTCTGGCACTTTATCCCCCTCTCTCCACTGAGACCACTAGTCCTTTTACTTGGTAAACTTCTTTTTAAAAAAATTTAAATTGTTTATTTTGAAATAGTGATAGATTCGTAGGAAGTTACAAAGATAGTGAACCCTAAAGGGTGCAGTTGACATAGTCATAGTGCAGCATCCAAACCAGGAGGCTGACCTTGGTGCAGGGCATGTGTTCTGTGTCGTTTTATCACTGCGTGGGCTTGTGTGTGCGCAGTCAAGGTACAGAAGCGTCCCACCCCCACCACAAAGTTCTGCCGCACGCTGCCCCTTTATAACCATGCCTTCCCCTCGCAGCCCCGCTGTCCCTCATCCTTGGCAACCACTGATGTGTTTTCCGGCTCCGTAACGTCATCTCGAGACCATGAGGGAAATGGACTCGCACAGTGTATGGGCTGTTCTCACTCAGCAGTACGCCCCTGAGAGCCATCTACGTGGTGTGTGTACCGGTAGTCTGTTCCTTTTTATCACTGAGTGGCATTCCGTGACGTGGCTGTGCCACGGTTTGTTTACCCATTCACCTACTGAGAGACGTTTTGGTTTCCAGTGTGGGGCTGTTACGTATAAAGCCCACACGGCCGGTCAGGTACAGGTTTCTGTGCGGACATAAGTTTGCATTTCTTTGGAATAAATGTCAGGAGTACAGTTGCTGGGTCGTATCGTAAGTGTGTGTTTAATTTTTAACGACAAGGATGTCCACTCTTGTCACTTCTCTTTAACGTTGTCCTGGAGGTTTTACACGGGGCAGTTAGTCAAGAAGAATAAAGGCATCCAGATTGGAAAGGAAGAAGTAAAACTGTCACTATTCGCAGACACTGTGATCTTGTGTATAGAATATTCTAAGGAATCCACTAAAAAACTTTTAGACTGATCAGTGAGTTCATCAGCACTGCAGGATACAGGATCGATACACAAAACTCAACTTTGTTTCTGTATACTTGCAATGAATAACCTAAAATGAAATTAAGGGAACAGTTATATTTACAGTAGAATCAAAAAGAATAAAACACTTAGGAATAACTGTAACAAAAGAAGTACAAAACTTATAATCTGAAGAGTATAAAATGTTGTTCCAAGAAAATAAGGATTTAAATGCATGGGAAAATACACTGTGTTTATGGGTCAGAAGGTTTAACACTGTTAAGATGTCCATACTCCTCAAATTGATCTGCAGATCATCCCAGTCCCTATTGGAATTCCAGTTGGTTCCTTTGCAGAAACCTACAAGCTGATTCTAATCCCCGATTCATATGTAATTTCAAGGGACCCAAAATAGCCAAAACAATCTTGAGCAAGAACATAGGAGGAGCATTCACACTTCCTAATTTAAAAACTTACTACAAAGCAACAGTAGTCAAGACATTGGACTAGAAGATAGTCCAGAGATGAACTGATGTGTCTGTGATCAGCTGATGGTGACAAGAGCGCTAAGACCATCCAGTGGGGGAAAGAATAATCTCTTTAATAAGTGATGCTGGGACAACGGGACATCCACATGCCGAAGAGTGGGCCGGGCCCTCACCTGGCACCATATACAAAAATCAACTCAAAATGCGGTAAGTGACCTAAATGCAAGAGCTAAAAATCTAAAACCCTTGGAAGAAAACAGGGCAGTCAATCTTCATGACCCTGAATTTGACTAAGGATTCTTATATATGATACCAAAAACGTGAACAACCGGAGAAAAAGGATAGATACATTTGACTTAAGAATGTAAGACTTTTGTGACAGCATCAAGGTGAACAGACAACCCACAGGATGGATGAAGGAATTCGCGAATCGTGTGTCTGGTAAGGGACTTGTATCCAGAGTTAATAAGGAACTCTTACAACCCAACAGTGAAAGACAACCCAATTTAAAAATGGGCAGAGGGTCTGAATAGACATTTCTGCAGGGAAGATATTCAGATGGCAAACAAGATGGAAAGATGATATCATTCGTCATCCGGGAAATGCAAATCACACCCAAAGTGAGGCGTCCCCTCACACCCGCTGGGCTAGTTACATGCTGGTGAGCAGCACCTGGAGGAACCTGAACACTTGCCCATTGCTGGAGGGTGTGAAGTGTGCAGCTGCCGTGGGGACAGGCTGGTGGCCCCCCCATGAGTCAACAGCATCAGCTGCGACCCCGCAGTCCCACGCCTAGTGCACACCCCAGAGAAACGAAAGCACACGTCCACACGAAGACTTGCACATGATTACTTAGAGAAGCTTTATTCATCATGGCCAAAAGGTGGAACCCCAAATAGTGTCCCCTGAGAGACAAACGGGTGAACAAAGTGTGTATTCGCACGGTGGAATATATAACCTTTGCCCATTTTTTCACAAACTAGGAAGCACGGGGTTGTACGTTTCGTGTGGGTGAGTTGTGAGGGGTGGGGACCCCATCTCAATCAAGTGGTTTTTTTTCTTTTTTTTTAAAGATTTTATTTATTTATTTGACAGAGACAGAGATAGCGAGAGCAGGAACACAAGCAGGGGGAGTGGGAGAGGGAGAAGCAGGCTTCCCGCCGAGCCGGGAGCCGGATGCGGAGCTCGCTCTCAGGACCCTGGGACCATGACCTGAGCCGAAGGCAGTCGCTTAACGACTGAGCCACCCAGGCGCCCCAAGTGGTTTTTTTTCAAACAGAGAAATGGGCTGTGTTCCAGAGTGGCAGCACCCGTCCCCCGTCCAGCTTTGGGCGGTGTGGCTGTCTTCTGTCCCAGCCACCGTGATGGGTGTGCAGGGCTGTCTCAGTGTGGCTGCCTTTCCCTGGGCTTGTCGGCCATCCATCTGTCCTCTCTGGGCAAGTGTCTTTTTGTCCATTTGTCTTTTGTCTGTCTTCTCATTGGAGTTTTTAACTGCTGAGTTTTGGGTTTTTCTCATGATGTGTTCTGGATACAAGTCTTTTGTGAGGTGTGTGGCTTGTGGGCTTTCCTCCTCCTCTGTCGCTTGTCTTTGCATCCCCGGAACAGGCTCTTTCACGGAGCAGAAGTTTCCCATTTTGGTGAAGCCCACGTTGTCCGTGCTTTCCTTTTGTGCTCGTGCTCTCCAGGCTAAGTCTGGAAACTTCTCACCAAGTCCTTGGCCTGGAAGAATTTCTCCGCAGCCTCCTGCATCAGCGGATTCACGTGATCATGGGATTATTTTTCTTTAGCCCATCAAGGGCGGACGATACTGGTTGATTCTCGAGCACTGAACAGCCTCGTCCCTGGAGCGACCCCGCTGGGGCGTGGGGCATCGTTCTTTGTGCACACAGCCATTTATGGCTGAGGCGTCACGAAGGGTCTTGGTAGACTCTGAGTCCGCTGGGTCCTCAGTGCTTGCTCGGCCATGAGCAGGGGTGTGTGCGGAGGCTTCCGGGGGGGCAGCACCGTCGGGGGGAGACCCAGAGGGAGGTCTAGAAGGAAGCCCAAGGATGTGGGAGGTTTTGTTTGGGGACGAGAAGGGCAGCCACTTGCTTGGGTGCTGTCCCGTCCACATCCGACCCCGCATCACTTGCGGGGAGGGTACCCGGGCGCAGGCCCAGGGGAACGGCTCGCTGGTGTCTGGGCAAGGCCTGGGGCCCAGGGCATCCCTGAGGTTGGGCAGTTCCAGAAGCGAGGAGGTGCTGGACGTGCGAGAGCCCATTCTCACGGCCGGCAGCTCCGTGTCTTCCCGCGGCGGCCCTCAAGGACTGCTCGCTTTTCTGTCGGTCCCCCTTCTGGTGGCAGATGTGAGTGACATCAGTCGCCTCCTCAGCGCGTTCCACAAGCCGCACGCGGGGCTCATCCAGGCCGCCCAGCAGCTGCTCTCCGACGAGCAGGCCCCGCTGCGGCAGAAGCTGCTGGCCGACCTCCTGCACACCGTCAGCGAGAACATCGCGGCCGAGACCAGGGCCGAGGACCCGCCGTGGTTCGAAGGTAGCTGGGGGGCTGGGGGTGGGAGGGCTGGCTCAGAGCCGGCCTTGCAGGGGGGAGCCCAGGCCCCCTGCAGTTCCCGGGCCGGGGCCTTGCCTGGCTCCTCTGCTCTCGCAGCCCTGGGGCTGGCCTTTTTATTTCTGAACTGGGGAAAAGTGGACGTAACATAAAATTTTCCATTTTAACCAGTGTAAGTGCATAGTTTAATGGGGTTGAGCACGTTTGCCTTGGCGTGCAGCTGTCACCGCCATCTGTCTCCAGAACTTTCTCACGTTCCTCAACTGAAACCGTGGCCTGTTAGACACCAGCCCCCACGTCCGCTCCGCGGCCCCTGGAGCCCGCGCTTGCTCACCTGGTCTCTGATCTGACTCCCGCAGGCCCTCACTCGCGATCACACAGGGTGTGTCCCGAGCCTGGCCGGTTTCACTCAGCACCGTGCCCTCGCGGGCCACGTGTGTCGTCCCGTGTGTCACAGCCTCCTTCCTTCTTCAGGCTGACTCACATTCTCCTGCGTGGCTGGACCACGTTTGCTTGTCCGTCACCTGGCCACGGACACGTGGTGCGTCCACCTCGGGGTCGGCCTTTAAGCCGGTCGGAGCAGCTCCGTGGACGAGGGGGCTGGGGGGCAGGAGCAGAGGCCCTCGGTGGCCTCTAGATGCCCACGAGGGGGGCCCGGGGACAGGCAGAGAGAACCGGAGCCTGCGAGCAGGACACCGCACGCTTCTCAGGTGAGGCCGGCGGTGCGCCCAGCCTGTGGCCGCGGACGCCACAGGGCCCTTGTCTGTTCCTGGCAGGTTTGGAGTCTCGATTCAGGAGTAAGTCTGGGTACCTGAGGTACAGCTGCGAGAGCCGGATCCGGAGCTACCTGAGAGAGGTCGGAGCGCGGGGCGTGCGGGCAGAGGGGCGGAGGCCGCGGAGCCCGCCCGACTCTGGGTTTTGGGACATCGTGCGCCAGCGCTCAGCCGTGGCCCTTGGTTCTTCCAGGTGAACTCTTACGCCTCCGTGGTCGGCGTGGAGGCTCGGGAGGAGTATTCCCGCATCGTGGACGTCATGTGCCGGGAGCTCAGGGCAGCGCAGTACAACGGCAGCTACTTCGACAGAGGCGCCGAGGCAGGCGGCCGGCTCTGCTCGTCCGAGGGCTGGTTCTGCTGCCAGGTGCGCCATGGGTCCCGGGGCCACCCAGGCGGCTGCTGAGCCAGCCCTCCCGCGGCTTCCCTCCGGGCGTCGGCGTGAGGGGAGGGTCAGCTCAGCCCGTGGTTCTCCGACTGCAGTGGAATTGGAACCCCCTTCCCCGCCCGACGGTCGATACAAGACGCCCCGCTTCCCGGCCCCCAGCTGCTGGTTCAGCAGCCCTTCTGACAGCGTCCCTGGTGGCGCTGCTGGTCTGGGCCCTCCTCTGAGAACCGCTGATGTGGCGGGAGTGCGCGGCTGTCCCGGGAGTGGAGGCCTCCCCTTCGCTCCCCTTGGGAGGAGGGGGATGGGCAGATAAGAGAAGGACAGTGTCACAGCTGCTGAAACGTGGCCCCCCGGGGAAGCTTTCTGGATGGCAGCTCAGATTTCAGGACTTGTGGCCAGATGTGACCTGGCGGGGTCGCAGCGGCCAGAAGCAGCGTTCTGGACCTCCTCCCGGGCACTCGGAGAAATTACAGAGGCACCACTGTCCAACGGGCTACCGACTAGGGTCATGAGTCACGGGGCTTGGAGCTGGTGGCCTTTGCAAGGATGGGCAGGGGCCGTTCTGCTGCCCACGCCTCCTTCCTGGCCTCCTGGGCTCCGGCGAGTACCTGGGCCCCTTTGCATTTCCGGTAAAATCTCCTCCCCCCACTGGTAGCCTGAGGGTACAGACCCTGGAGGCCGGCGCGGCCTCCCTCCCACAGACGGGCTCCCAGTGCTTTTGCCTGGGCAGTTCCTTCCGTGGGTGATGGGCCCTGACCAGCAGAACACTGCTCCTTCCCAACCAACTGCACGTTAGCCTCTGAGTGACCTCCCGCGTACTCTCCATGAGCGTCGCCTGAGCCCAGGTGTTTCACGGAGGAGGAGCAAAGACAAAAGATTTCAGCCTGACATCATCGGGAGGCTTGAGGCCCGAGGCCTGTAAGCAAGTGAGGGCAGTGGGCCTGGAGCTGGGAGGCTGTGCAGGCCCTCGGGGGACAGGCTAGTCCTGGGTGGGGTGAGCCGGGGGCTTCAGGGAGGAGGTGACGCCCTAGAACAGTGCGGTGGGAGTGGACAAGTGACCCCGCAAGGGCACGAGGGTGGGGAAGAGGGGGCAGTGGGCTCTGTTGGGGAGCTGCGAGCCTTGGGGGTGTCTGGAACACAGGACGGTGGATGGGGTCACGGCACGTGGCATGTGCTCAGCAGACATCTGTGAAAGGAGTGACTGAAGGTGCGACATGGCCAGGAACACTGACCACAGGAAAACCAAAGCTGGGCAGTCCAGACTATTTGACGTCTCTGATGCCCAGCCTCTGCGTTGGGGTTGTGGGGAAATACCGGGAAGGCACGTGGAGCAGATAGGGAGCAGCCAGCATGTGGGCGCTGGCCGTGGGCCTTCATTCCCCACGAGGGCGGGTGATGGCGTGTGCTCCCAGGCGCGTGGGGAGGGCTGGACACAGTGGGTCTGTCTGTCGGGGTGTGGAGACCCAGGAGGTGCACGGTCGGGAAGCTGGCTTTCCTAACAATAGCAGGAGCTAGCTTGTCCCCATGGCCAATGTGGAGTATCATACTGGGGGTCACGAGGGAAAAGGGGGTACCATTCCAAAGACAGAATTCCTAATAGGCCCAAACAGACTGAATCCCCTACCGGGTGGGACCTTCTTCTCAGCTCATCTAACTTGACATAAGACCAGTGGGTAAGAGCTGGGCTCACTTGGTGGACCTTGTTCTCTTTTGACCTAGGGTCCTTTTGACATGGACACCTGTGCGTCCAAACACTCCATCAATCCCTACGGTAACAGGGAGAGCCGGGTCCTCTTCAGCACGTGGAACCTGGACCACATGTGAGTACGGGTTCTGGGGAGGTCAGGGCTGTTTGTTGTTGAGAGCTAAATTCGCGGACCCAAAGAGCAGCTGCTGGGGCCTGTCCGTGCCGTGGCAACCGTGGCTGGCCGGCTGCCTTGTGTTTCCTGTGCTGAGCTCGTCCTGAGTGTGTAGGGGAGGTGGGGTGCCGGATGCACGCTCCTAACCTGTGTGATTAGGTGTCCTTCACCGTGGCAGGCTCTGACAGGAGCCGGTCCAGAGCCCCGTCCACATCCATGCGACCTGGTGCATGCCCCCTCTATCCCGTCCAGCTCCCATCTGTGGGGCCCAGTGGGCACACTCAGTGGGGTGGGGGTGGGGGGGTCTCCTGCCTGAACCAGGATGAGCTCAGAGCGGGAGCTCTGATTCAGTATGTAGGGCATTTCCTACTTTCACCCGAATGAGTGAAGGCCAGCAGGATTGTTTTTCTATGTGTACGAGCTCATTTTAAGAAACGGCAGAAATAAAATTGTGTTATCTTAACGGAGATGCTTTCTTGGGATATAATGACGTCCTTGTCTCTGCTTTATGAAGACAGAGATCTTCCAATGCCCTTCAAGTGGCCATACCGCTTTTGGGGACCAGATGGTACTGAGCGCATACAGGACGTTATGGGGACAGTCGAGGCTGCCGTCCCACCCCTTCTGGATCCATTCCCTTCCGCCCCCAGGAACTGTTCTGAGGTTTGTGCGTTTCCTTCTGATAGGTATCAGGCTCCAGGCCTTTCCCCTGGAGGTCTGAGTTTGAGAACGGACCTAAGGGGTCACACGTGGTGATGCCGCACAGTGCTTCTCCATCCTACGTTATGCTTACGGGGATGAGCTTTGGGACATTTGTGAGCGCTTCACTCTGTGAATAGAATGTCACGGGAACCTGCATTTCCGTCCCGGTAGGCGTGTCTGGTCTAAGTTTCCACCGTTTATAGGACAGCCTGGGGTGAGCATGGTCTCTGGTTCTGGGCCATGTAGGTGTGGTCTGTGGGCTGGCAGCTGCATCAGCATCTGGGGCCTGGTCAGGAAGGCAGATTCTCGGGCCCCGCCGGCCATTACCCGGGTGCCGGGGAGGGGGGCGCACCTCCAGGGGACTAGGACCGTCCTGGTGCCTGAGCCGCGGGGTGAGCTCCCCTCTAGGGAGGGCGCAGGGTCTCACCCCTTCTGACGGGCACCGAGCACCCCAAGATGACCCCTGGCTCTCCAGCTCATCGTCTGCTACTTTCCGTGACTCACTGGGACGTGGGGACATGGATCGAGGGGTCGGTCCCAGCTTTAAAGGGCGGGACAGGCCAGCCTGGAGCGGAGTGCAGACGAGGCAGCAGACGCGGGAGCACTGGTGGCTTCGGTCATAGTTTCTCTCTGTAAATACGGCACTAACGCCTTCCAGCAGCCCGGCCGGCTTCTCTGCGCGTCTGACCTCCGGCCTCCTTTCTGATTTCAGACGCGTGGCTTCCATGCGGGTCTGTGGGCGCTCTGTGCTCTTCGTCTTGGAAGATGTCCCTGTAGCCTGGACTCTTGCGTGCTTGTTTGGGGCGTCAGGGGTCCCCCTTCAGAACCTGGAAGCCGGGACAGTGGGGTCTCCGGGCGTCGGCTGCTTTCTGCCTCTTCGGTGGCAGCTCTCGAGCGGCTTTCTCCTGGAACATGGAGCGTGTGTGGGTGCAGATCTCTCCTTCACGTTCTGACTGGGACTTGTCTTCCTTGTTCTGAGACAACTTCCTCCTGGATTTTGGAAGACTCCTGAGCATTTATTAGTCACGACTTCTCGGCTTCTTCCTGTCCGGCTCTTCTGGAACTCTCCACAGCTGCATGCTGGGCCTTCTCATCCTGGCTCCCCCGGGCTGCATCAGCTCAGACTCCAGCTCTGCTGCCGTGTTCCTGGCCACATCCGGCCACGGGCTGAGCTGTGGCCCCGCATTCGTACGTCGAAGCCCTGATGGCCAGCGTGACTGTGTCTGGGGATGGGTCCCCAGGGCGGCTGTGGCGAGGGCAGGCCTGACCTGCCGGACTGTCCCGTGAGGAAAGAGGCCGCCTCTCTGAGCCAGGGACTCTCAGCTCGCCCTGGCCGGCCCCCCCAGTCCCCCAGCTCCTGAACTCGGGGAAATTATGTCTGTTGCTTTCGCCCCCAGAGCGTGGTGTCTGCGACGCGCCCGGGCCGCCTCGGACGCTTGCCTGTTGTTCATTCACTTGTTCCCTCTGCAGCTGGAGCGCCTCCTGTCTGTCCACCGCGTCTGTATTTCCTTCCTGGAAGTGCTTCTGGGTTCTTTGTAAAACAAGCCTTTCCATACCAGTCTGTTTTCATTATATTTTTTATTTATTTTTATTTTATTTTTTATTTTTTTAAAGATTTTATTTTTAAGTAATCTCTACACCCAGCACGGGGCTTGAACTCACAACCCCAAGACCAAGAGTCGCATGCCTGTCTGACCAAGCCAGCCTTTTTCATTATTATTTCTGTTTTAAATCACTTTATTCATTTTAAGCATATTTGTTTTATGGCTGTAAGGAATTGAGCTGTGTCCAAAGAGAGGTGTGGCCTCGGCCCCTGGCCCCTGGGAGGTCACCTTGAAGCCCTTGGAGTGTCCTGCCTGTGAGGGTCCTTGCTCCCCTGCGGGCCGTGGTTCGCTGCGTGGTCTAGCAGTGTGATTGCGGTGGGGGCTGTGGGTCCCGTGGGGGCCGGAGATGAGGCTCCTCATCGGGTGGCCAGCCATGCCCACGTGTCCGAGTCCCGACAAAGACTGGACACTGAGGCCTGGGGAAGCGTCCCTGCCTGGCACCACCCCACGCATGTGCTCACCACCGCTGCCGAAGGGGGTCTGTGCCCTCCGTAGGGAGAGGGCGGTGGGAGCTCTGCATCTGGAACTTTCCGGGACTCTAACCTGTGAGTCCCTTCCCTTGGCTGATTTTAATTTGCATCCTCTCATGATTATAAGCCACAGCTGTGAGTATAACAGTGTCCAGGGGCGTCTGAGCCTGTTGAGCAAACTCTCAAACCTGTGGGTGGTGTCGGGGAGCCCTGGACTTCACGGTTGGCGTCGGAAGAGGTCTCAGGGAGCCCTCCCTAGCTCTCGGCGGTCTGCCTCAGAGGCTGTAGCCCGGGTCTTTCTCGGGGGTCCTTGCCTGTTGCTGTGTGCTCCTGGTGACGTTGCTGGGTCTGGATTCCGAGTTCATCCTCAGCAGGATTGTTTTCTGTGGACGTCCTGTGTGTGCTGGCTTGTCCTTCCCCACAGAGTGGTTTTGCATTTGTTTCTGCCAGACACCCAGGGCTTTCAGTGGCTCTGAAACAACTGAGTATTAATTTCTTGCTTGGCTCCCACATGTGTGGCGGCGTGAGGTCGGACTGTGTGTCTGTGAACAGTGAGCTGAGGGTCCTGGCTTCCTGGGTGACTGTGGAAATGGTCATGCTGTTGGTGCTCCCCGAATCATACCTCCCGCTCCCTGCACCATGTGGGTTCTCCCGACGCCTCCCGTCACTGAATAAACCTCGGCCACGTGGCTCCAGCAGACTGGATACCAGCGGAGGCCTGATACGTGCTTGCACGCTGGGGCCTGTTCTCTGGGCGCTGCCATTCCCAGGGAGGGGCCTGACCTGGCTCCCTGGGGAGAAAGCCCGGCCCCCAGTCAGCCCTCTGGCCAGCCCAGCCACAGGAGTGGGTCAGGGTCAGCAGGAGCCCTGCCACACTGACCCCCACAAGCCTCTGTTCTGGGGCTGGGTATGCAGCAGAAGGTAGCTGACGGGGTGGCTTTTTCTCCCTCCCCAGAGCCCGGGGCTCCCTGCCACTTCCCTTCCCACACTAACAGCTGCAGTGGGGTCTCCGTCCCACCTCCCCGGCTCTCCCCTTGGGCCCCTTTCTGGACCACAGCCCTAGTGGGCTGCAGAAGGGTGGCTCACCCCTGCGGATCAAGCATGGACGTCTCTGTTTCTGGCAGGGGGGCCCCCCTTCTTTCTTGTGATCTCAAGTATGTACTTCTTTTCCCTTTTATTCAGCGTTTCTGTGCTGTGGGGACACGAGTCTGTGTGCTTTGGTCCTCCAGCTGTGGTACTTCTGATTCCTTCTTGTCGGTCCGCAAGCTTCCGTCCCCATTAGTACACGGGCTTTGAATGGTTTGTTTATAAGTGAAACAGGCTTACACAAAGCAGTGTGGACGCACACAAGCATGAGGCTAGGGTTGGAAAGACAGACGTCAGCCCTCACCACGACACTCTCCAGGGAGAACGAGGGGGAAGGCTTTATTTCTGGGGTTCTGTTGAGGAGGGACTGAGGACGCCGGGCCCCACCCCTTTCCTTCTGCGTACTTCCCAGGACTTAAAGATGTGCACGGCCCCAGCCATCCTACGGGAGACAAGCCAAGTTGCTTGGACCAGGCCGGGCCGGCGGGCGTGGCCGCGTGCGGTGATGCCCCCGAGAAGGACTGTCCCCCAGTCTTCCTCCTGCCGACAGCAAGATGAGGTGTCCTGGACACACGGCTCCTTCGGGGTGTTTCCAAGTGCAGCTCCTTTTGAAACGTGCACCACTGTGCTCGTGTCTTTTCCTGTGGGCCCCCACGTCGGTTCGTGGTTCAGCTGCAGTGGCCGAGCGGAGGCCGTATGGAGTGTCCTGTGCTGTCGCAGTAGATGTCCTGGCAGGTGCGCGGGACGGCGAGGGTGCACGCTGACCGGCTCTCACTTCCTTTGCAGAATAGAAAAGAAGCGCACGGTGGTCCCTGCGCTGGCTGAGGCCGTTACAGAGCGAGACGGCAGAGAAGTGGCCTGGGAGTATTTCTACAGCCTGCTCTTCACCTCCGAGAACCTGAAGTTGGTCCACATCGCCTGCCACAAGAAAACCACCCACAAGCTCAGCTGTGACCCCCGCAGGATCTACAAACCGCAGACGAAGCCGAAGAGGCGGCGGCCGGCCCGCAAGTGCCAGTGACGGGCCGCACGTGCCTCCTCCCCTGGGTGTGTGGGATTCCAGTGGCTGTTATCGATGGCTCCTGGAAACACTTCAGAGGTCCTCATTACATTTCTGAATCGGCCTTTGCACCTCTGAGAGCCCAAGCGCCAGGGGACCAGTTTGGTGCGCGGCCGGGACGCGTGTGGGTCTGCAGGGACAAGGCCCTGTCCTCAGCTCAGGGGCCCCTCCTGCCCCGAAGGTCCCGCTGCCGTGCGCACGCAGGGTGGCCTCCCCACTGACACGGCGTCGGGCCAGACGTGGCGGCGCTGGCTGGAGGGACAAGTAGTCTGTGTCAGCTCTCGGCTGGGTCTCCACTCCCACGACAAATGCAGAGCTCTATCCTCTGGGCTTTTCTGATTGCTCCCAAGAGTTGCAGCCCATCTGGGGTAAAATGTTTGTATTCCATAAAGCACGTGCAAGGACAGGCGCTACCGTTTATGGTGGCGGAGAGCGGGAGACCCTCCACGTGTGTGTCCGTAGGGGAAGGGCTCTCTGTGGTCTTGTGCTGAACCACAGGAAATTGCTGTTCTCGTAAATCAGAAATGGTCAGATGTCACGATTCAGTCCTACCCATCGACATTATGCGAAGCTGTGTAGCAGTTTTGTGCTTCTGTACGGAAACGGGGGGCTGTGCGTCAGGTGCAGAAGGTGGTCAGTGGCTTCACCACGCCGAGTGTGCCCTGCTGGTTTTATAACTGTGTATGTGTGTCGCACGTGCGTGTTAGTGCACGCGGGACAGTCTGCGAGGAAACGTGCCGTCTGGACAACAATAACCCTGGGGCCGCGGTGGGGGCGCAGTGGATTATAAAGGGCTAATTTTCCAAGTCATGTATTTCATAAAACTTGAAGTTTTTGAAATAAGCACTTATTTCATAATCTTTTAAAATTTACTTTTTTAAAGTCCTACAGATCGTAGTTGAATTTTTACTTTTGTATAATCGTAAAAACCAATAAAGATTTTTTAGAAGTAGACGTGTCCAAAGTTTGCTGGGAATGATAAAAATAAGGACAAAAACAAAGGGTCAGTGATTTTTAAAAAATGATGCAAATCATTCCATTTTCTTCACTGAAATAGAGATGTCTTAGGATGAGCCAGTCCTGCACGTGGGACCTTAGCACGTGGTGTTCACCTGGCCCCGCGGGGAAGCGCACCAGTGGGGGGGGGTCGGGACGTGGGCCCGATACTGAGTCTGCTGAGCTGTCCCGTGGACCCTCCTCCAGCCCAGCAGCGGGGCAGGGGCCGCCCGCCCGGCTGGGCTCAGAGATCTGATCTGCTAGGACTTCTGCTGCCTCCCCCACTGCCCTCCGCTCCTGAGCGAGCTCCTGCTCACCTTTCTGACGGGCACTTACATCCCCTCGGGATGCAGGACGCGGAAATCCAGTCTGACTCGAGCAAGAGCTGCGAGGCTCTCCTGGTTGCGATGCAGTTGAGTTTACTTGTTTTGGGGCCCTCGGCCTGGGTGCTGGGTGACTGTTACAGACGGGAGGGGGTCACCAGGCAGTTATGTCCCCCTCAGACTCCCAGGTTAGAGTTGGTAGCACAACCTCTTCGCAAAATAGGGGTTTGCAGTCTGTTTTCAACAAAGGAAGGGAGGGAAAATCTAGGAGCTGGGAGTGTAGGGTCTGGTGATCTGCGGGTGCAGAACTGCCGTGACATCTGGGCATGAGGTCCCTTGTACTGGCAGGCCCTCCACTTGCCGCAGGCTCTTTGGTCGGCAAGGCTGCAGAGGGAGGACCTCTAGACCCCGGTCCTGCAGCTTACGGGAGGGGGCGGCCGGCAGTCAGCCTCTGATGGCAGCCAGGATGGGGAGCTGGGGCAGGGAAGCCAGAGGAGGGAGCCGGCCGTGCAGAGTCGGGGTGGGGAGTGGGGGGCGGTCAGTGCCGAAGGAGGCCAGTGAGGGGTGTGAACAAGGCCGGGGCTGATGAGGAGAGGCGGGGGGTGGGGGTGGGTTTCAATGCCAGGTGCGCACTCCAAGCCTGTGTGACTGATCCCAGTAAGGCCTGGGGGAGCTTCCTGGGTGGCTGGAGAATGAGGCTCGCGTCTGTGCCGCCCCCGGGAGACACCGCGGGAGGCCGTTCCTCTGGTACTTGGCCCCGTGTGTGCTTTCCCTGTGGTAAACGGGACCGTGAGTATCGTGGCTTCTCCTGAGTCCTGGGAGTTGTAGGAGCGGGTCTGAGGGTCCCCTGCACAACAGGCGCTGAAGACGGCGCGGCAGACGGCTCTCCTAGTTCCTACACCGCTCACCCAACCACAGGCCCGTCGTTGTGTGAAGACCCACGTTAGAGAGTGTTTCTAGAAATTCACACTGTAACAGGGCCTGGAGCCGGCATTCATTTTAAACACTGGCAGACAATCGAGGCAGGATAGATCACCGAGCACTCACAACTAAAGTGGGTGAGAGTTGACAGCTCCTTTAATAGGCTTCCTGAAACTTCATTTTGTCCCCAGGGCTGAGCCTGCTTCCTTCCATATGGCTGACGTCACCCCGCACGGGCCTCAGGGTGACATTTCTGTTGTGCTGTCCTGCAGCACGTGAGCTCCGCCGATCACTGCTGGCTCCGCAGGGGACACCTGCTAACGTCCCCCCTCACCTGGGAGTAACCAGCAGACTTACACAACTGTACCATCTTCCCAACCCCAGATATTCTGCGTGGCGTGAGCAGGGGTTGGTCCCCTAGGAGCACGCAGTTTTCACTTTGCGTTTTGGTGGGAATGTGGCCGCGCATCTCCTGCGGGTGTGCTCGCTTCAGGCATATGCTTCTCCCAGAAGCCAGTACGTGGGGCACAGAGACCCCTGGAATCTGAGGCAGCCTGGTCACCGCGAACCCAGGTGCTGTGATTACTAGTTATTTCTACAGTAACCTCTAGTAGTTAGTTGTTTTCCCTGGCTGCCATCAAAATCCCTTTAGGAGCAGTAATTTCAACTGATTAAATAGAGTAGTTTGTTGATCAATAAACCACCAAATTATCCAGAGTAGGCGGAGGTCACAGCTGCTAATGGGAAGATGATCACATCGGAAGTGGAGGGGCTGTGGGGGGAGATCTCTCGCGTGGGCGTTTGAAGGACCTTCGCTACTTGCGTGAACCAAACGATCTTTCCTGTAAGGTACCCTCCGTGCCTCACGGGACATTTTCATAGGGTTAAATCTAGCTGCTGTTATAACTAAGCCAGAAATGTCTGTTAACGGCGGGGGGTCCCTTCCAAGACCCCCAGTGGATGCCTGAAAGCGCGGCTGGTCCCGAACCCTCTAGGTGCTAGCTCTTCTCCTGAACACACACCTGTGATTGAGTGTTAAGTGTGACTGAGGCACAGGAAGGAACTAAGAGTCACACAGAACAATCACAATGCACTGCCGTGAGGTTAGATGACCGTGGCCTCCCGCTCTCCCTGGCCTGCACTCACCCTTCTCCCCGGGAGGATGTGACATGATGATTGCCTACGTGCGGAGATGGAGGTGAGCGACGTGGGCAGGCGACACAGCGCTGGGCTACGACGCATCACAGGGAGGACATCTGCCTCCGACTCGCGGTTGAGCGTGGGTGACTAAAACCGCGGACAAGGGTTGGGGGCGGGGCACAACCATAGCTCAAGAAGGGACTGTTCCTCCTCATGAGCGGATGTTCAATCCCCGTCTTCCTGACTGCAGGCAGCGTCTCTCTTTGTGTTGGCCATGCGGGAGCCAGGCTCCCTCCTGGTGTTCCCTCACCCCAACCTCCGTACCTCGCTATACCACGAGGAGCACACAGCCTCGTCACCACACGGGGCGAGGACTGCGCGGAGCACCGCTGCTGTCTCAGGAACCCCACACCCTACACAAGGGGGTGCCATGTCCCTTCTAGTGCGCAGCCTCAGCTCTCCACTCTGGGGTGGCACTCAACGGTGTCACCTCCCCCCTGGTGACCCAGCCTTACACACAGAACACAGGTAAGGATTCGTTTTCTCCACTTGGCTCGCAACATTTTTGAAAGAAATAGAGTTTTAGGAACATAAAGATTTCTTTAAAAATATTTTCAAAATATATTTTCTTTCTTTCTCATATGTATTTCGCAAAATTTTCAAGGTAAACATTAGCTTCATATACAGAAATAAAGGAGAGTTCTTTAAGAACTGGCATTGACTCAATCACAAGAATGATCAGATTTCGATAATGGAAAATAAACTCGTGTTATCAAAACTAAAGGGCTTAAGTGAGGAGTTTTCTTCAGAAAGGTCTCTCCCACTGAACCCCACGCCCCTCGGGGGACTCAAACCGTCGTCACAGACACACAGACACAAGAAAATGCATATGTATGGAGCAGCGGCTGCGCAGACTCAGAGATGGTTCTAGGCGCGAGTGTCAATGCTCCAGGGGCTTGGTGCTGTGCACGAGGACCTTCCCAGGTCTGTTTCAACGTCTGGTTCAGAATACATTTTCTTGGGAGATAAACTTGATATAAATCTCATCACTTGCTAAACTGTCAAACTATTAACGGTATTAAATATGCAAGGAGATCACCATGTACTTTATTCTCTACATTTCTGCACCGTCATCATCATCTTCATCATCTTTGGCTCTGAAATGCATTTTCCTGAATTCTCGCCTGCTCATCGAAGGACAAGACGAAGACGCCGGTGGAAGGTCCTTGGAGGAAGAAAACACATTTCAGGCACGGCCAGCGCACCGCACCGGTCAGCCCTCGAGGTGAGGGCTCGCTCCCCCAGCTGACTTGAGGGAAGAGGATGCCCAGCAAGCATGGGGCGGCTGCGTCTTGCCCACAGCTGAGGGGGAGGCCCAGAGTCACACACCAGCCCGCACCCCGAGGGCCGAGCGAGGAGGCAGAGACCTCCCAGCAGAAGCTGGTGCTCTGGCAGGATCCTCTGCTCAGGTGTGTCTCCGCGCAGTCCTCGCCCCATGTGGTGACAAGGTGTGTCTCCTCCTCGCGGGCATGTGAGTCTGTCCTGAGGCAGCGCCACACACATGCCCTGAGTGGGGAGCGCTGCCCAAGCGTGCGGCCTGCGTGGGGGCGCCCGTCTTACCTGCATGAGCTCCACGTTCCCGAAGAACCGGCCCACTGGCATCGGCTGGTTGCTGTCCTCGTCCAGAAAGACGCTGTCATCTGTCTGCAGCGGGGGCCTCGGGGCCTGTTCCCCCTGCAGCGCTGAGCTGCCCCGCGCCACGCGGCTGCCATGAGGCCCCTCCCCTGTAAGAGCCCCGGGGGCGGGCAGGCACAGGCCGTCTTCAGTCTCTGCTGGGCCAGCGTCGCCCACAGCTGTGCAGGGCCCGAGGGGGGGCCCCACGGCCTCCGGCTGAGCGGGAGCACCAGCTCCCTTCCCTGCAGGTGGCACGTGGTCTTCAGGAAACCCCAGAGGCTCATTGTTACGAGGGCTCTCGGGTGGTATTTTGGGCAAAGCAGCACTATCGCTCTTAGGGACGAGTTTCTGTAATTCTGCTTTCACCAGATGACCTTTGTCATACTTGAACTTCTTGGAAGTTCGCCTGTCGGCGGCTTTGTGTGACGAGGTCTGTCAAGAGGAAAGTGTAAGGGGAAACCAGACACGTCTAGGATTATGGGGCAGACAGCAAATTCAGAACGTCTCAGTCCCAGAGGCCAGTACTCCTTCTCACCCCTTAGACAATACAGGTCTCCTTCCACACTTGTACGGTAGGGTTATTAGGTCACTGCCTCCAAAGGCTGGGAGAGATCTAGACACACACCGCCACCGCTCCCACCCCTGCCAGTTCCCCCAGGGGCGTTGTAGTTCCTGAGGGAACTTCAGAAGCGGGTATTGACAGATTATAAAATGCCAACAAAACATCGAGTTTCCACGCATCTCTGCTAGAACATAGGCTGCACGACGGCAGGATCTGTTTTACGGCACAGAGCAGGGGCTCAGCAATTATTTGTTAAAGGGACTTCA